CAGGCCCCACACAGCAAGGACCGGAAAGTTTGCTGACCGGGCACGTTGGGGCATCCACCTAGGAATCGAAAAGGAATACAAGGCATGGATCGTGCTGGATTACGCGACACATGAAGTGACAAAATCACGTGATTGCATCTTCTACGAGAAGATGAATCTGCCACTGTTCAACGAACATCGAGAAGCTGACAGGGCACCAGAATGGGTCTTCGAGGGACACCGCAGCTTCGCAACCTCACACGACGAAGCTGACATGGCAGAGGATGTGGATGCAGCAAGTGTTACCCAGTTTGACAGCGCACCCAACAACCCCCTTACAAGCCCGCTCCAAACCCCATCCTTCATACATGTACACCACTTCGATCCCGAGGATACAACTCGCGAAGCTCACAACTTCAACAGCGACACCCGCCATTCCCCAGGATGCCGACTTACCACCACCAAACACCTTGCAAGACTCCCTCCGCATTGGCAACAACAGTGAAGACGACGTAGTTGAGGTAACCAGCTTCGACGACTATGATCGCCTGCACTACGAAAAGACCACTGAAACAGGTCTGCGCATCCTTGGGCTCGTAGTCTCCGTTCGCCACGACTCCCCCAAAGAGCCCACCATCGTTCGCCAAGCCCTCTCTGGCCCCGACACTGAGAAGTGGAAGGCGGCCATGGCTAAAGAGGTCGCGGCGCTCAAGAACCATGGAACATGAAAGCTGGTTCCCCGAACATCAGGAAAGGGGAGAAAATTCCTCAGCGGAAAGTGGGTCTTCCGCATTAAGACACTCGCGGATGGCTCCATCGACAAATACAAGGCACGATGGGTGGTGCGCAGCTTCAAACAAACTCACATGGTGGACTTCGACCTCACCTACGCACCTGTCGGGCGGCACACTTCAGTACGGATTCCCATCTGCATCGCAGCCGTCAAACAGCACCCACTCCGCCAGATCGACATCGGCAGCGCATTCTTGCACGCTCCGGTCGACGCCATCATCTTTGTCAAGCAGCCCCATGCCTTCGAGGAAAACGATGGCGCCGTCTGCTTGCTCCAGAAATCTCTCTACGGGATTAAGCAAGCACCTCGCTTGTGGCAACAGTATCTACATATCGTGCTCACGGAGCTCGGATTCAAACAACTGCCCCACGACCTCGGAATGTACCGGAAGGACTCGCGCGGCAAATTCATTCTCCTTGTCGCCTACGTCGATGATCTCCTCTACACCGGTGACGACACAGAGCTACTGGACCAGTTCGAAGCGGACATCAAGGGGAAACTGGAGGTCACAATCAACCATGACGTTACACAATTCCTGGGTCTCAACATCACCCAGTCCGCCACCTCCATCCACCTCTCCGCCGCAAAATATGCCAAAACTCTCACGAAGAAATTCGGCATTGCACCCATCAACCTCACAACCCCCTTTCGCACTCCTCCTCCTAACCATGAACCAGACACCACGTCTCTCTCTCTCGCAAATCATCGGCTCTATTAGCAGCAGCTGGGGTGCCTCCTGTTCGCCGTTGTCACGTGCCGGCCGGATCTCTCCTACGTCACAAGCCAGCTTGCTCAGTACATGAAGCGGCCTGAAGGGGAGAATCTACTGGATCTACGCCGAGCACTTCAATACTTCATCTCTACTCCTGACATCGCCCTCACCTACAAAGCTAACTTAACAGCTACCCTGCAGCTGCATGGCTACGTAGACGCAGACCACGCGGGAGACATCGACAACAGATGTTCTCGCACAGGATTCATTTTTCAACTCCAACCTGCTGGACTCATCTCATGGAACTCTCAGAAGCAGGAACACATCGCTCTTTTGTCAGTCGAAGCCAAATTCATTGCCTCCAGCGCAGCCGTTCGCGAAGGACTGTACCTGATGGAGCTCCTACAAGAAGTGAAAGTGACGATGAACGGGACACTTTACGTTACTCTGCGACAACCAGAGCGCGATCAAAATCGCGAACAAGCCCGGCTTCGTATACCGCACGAAACACATCGCCCTTCGTTACTTTTTCGTCAAGGACGAAATTGACAAGGGCAAGGTCAAGCTCACTACTGCCCAACTGGTGACATGGCGGCCGACTTTCTGACAAAGAAACTACCACGTCAACAGTTCCAGCATTGCGCCAATATCTGCGGAATCACCAAGAAGTCCCACGTGGCCCACCTTCAGGAATGAAGGGGAGTGTAGAAATAACCGAAAGGTTGTCGTAAGCATTCCCGAAGGCTCTCCACTTCTCGCGTCACTTCATAACGAAGTAAAGCGCCTGTATTAGTACTGCAATAGCTCATATAGAGCACGTGGAAAGTCAAGGGTCACCCGAAGTTCAACAGTTGAAGACAGTCAATGGTCGTGACCCTTGACTGCCGCACAAGGCAGTTGCGAAGTGCAACGTGGTAACTGTCTAGAATGGCAATAGTCGTGGTTACTGTAGCAACGTACTTCAGATAATAAGGGAATGTACCCCTCAGAGTATATGGCTAGCTAGGATTGCTAATTATACTCTTGTACTCCTATCTTACAATCATCTTGTTCTTTCAAATCTTACAACAAGGTCATTACAGAGACTTCATAAGTTCTCTCATATAACTTGGCAGCTTTATCCTATCCACTACGATCCTTCAGTTATAACATCATCCAGCAGCTCCAACTCTAGCACCTCCAGTACCAGCAGCTCCAGTACCTCCAGCACCTCCAGCACCAGCAGCTCCAGTACCTCCAGCACCTCTAGCTCTAGCACCTCCAGCACCAGCAGCTCTTGTACCTCCACCACCTCCAACTCCAGCACCTCCAGCACCAGCAGCTTCAGTACTCCAAGCTCCAGCAACCCGGCCCCACCAAACAACCCAGTCGCGATGCTGTTGCGGCGAGAGGGTCTCTTGTCGACGAGACTGCTGCTGCTGTCCAATGCCAGAACCCCCAGCAGGAGCACCCACGACTCCACCACCAATAGGACTTGCAGCACCCCCAGTGTCAGCACCCCCAGAACCGGCACCCCCAGAACCAGCACCCGTAGACTCAGCACCCCTAGAGGCAGCATCCTCATGACCAGCACCTCCAGAGTCCGCACCCCCAGTGTCACAACCCCCAGTAGTACCAGAGTTCACAACGACAGGCTGCGGAGGCGGCGAAGACGGCCGAGGCGGAAAACCAAGAGGGGTCTCCAAGCGCAGGGAGCGGCGAATGGCCCCCGTGTCGTCAGCAGCGGGGTCACCCCCATCAGCTGGGCCAAAGGGGTCAGAGGAGACCTCCAAAGGCTCAACCAAGGGGGGTGGGTCGACCCGAGACACACCTGAGGGAGCAGGACCCTATGGGGGGAGGGGGTCTACTAGGGGGGGACCTGGGACCAGGAAGAGGGGCGGGGGGAAGACACGTGCGGGTGGAGACAGTTGAAGAAGACCGACCCGTCAAAGGTGACGTTTTGTGAGGACAGGACGCAGCGCGAGGCAAGGTGGTAAAACTGCCAGAGCATCGGTGGGGAAGCCAAGAAAGACGCCGCGGAGAGTGCAAGGAGAGAGCTTGCCCGCGGTGGTCTCGCGGACAAGGGAGAGCGCGCTCCAGGCCCGAAACGCCGACTCATCGCCAACCTCCCCCATCCAACGTAGTGTAGGCGAGGTCTTTGGCATAGAGACACGGTGCCAGAGGTTGAGCTGATGCGCGGCGTATCGGACCGCAAACGGTGCTTATTATTATGACTCATTTAGAAGCTCACCCCCCCTAAAAAGCATTGTTTCATTATAAGCGCACGTGCGCTTATATCCGGGGTGATACGGGTGCTATGCAACACATATTATTTGTCAGCTACTACTACCTATCATATACGGTAGGTGAGATGCTGAGCTGAATGCCAACTTAATGCCATAGGACACGTTAAGATAAGATTTACCAAACCCTAAAATACAATAGGGGCTGTCTGTCAGTATCACACAGAATTCGTCTGATGGTCAAAAAATAGGGCAATGTGTTAATCTGATTTTGTAGACAACTTGATTAATCTCACACGGAAGTTCAGTTCAGATCTGAATTCGTTTGATTATTCAGAAATTTTATTAGACCTACTGTCAGAATGTGAGAATGACCAGAATGAAAGCATACAGGTTGGATATGTAACCGTACAATCCCGTACCCTCTACATATCACATCAACCCACTCCAATAGGTAGTAGTATGGTTATTATGGATTAAGTTTGATACAAAGTCGTGGTAATTAAGAGAAGGGGAATTAGAGGAAGGTAAAGATGGTGGAACAAAGAAAGGGTGATAAGGAGAGAAGAGCTGGAGAAGAAGAGAAGGGCCGAAGGAAAGGTGGAAAGAGGAAAAGAAGAGAGGAAGAAACTAAAAGGAGGAAACACCTAAGGACCAAAACACCACAGCAACTCGCACCACAGCGCGGGACACAGCTTTTCAAGCACAAACGCTAAACACCTACACATATGCATCGTACATATACTGCATATCTGCCACGCTCTCAAAGCAGCCAGTAATGTGATGCCAACTGCCCTGCCCTGCACCCAAAGGGACTGGTGCGGGCATCCACCCGTCGTCTGACCCTCCCAACTGCCACACCGCGTGCTGTATAATACTCTGAGCCTGCGCTCGCTGCAGTGCCACGGAAAGTCGTGTAGTGAGTCCGGTCTTGAAAATCCGTGCTGACCCGTCATCCCCCCCCCCCCCCCCCCCAAGGTCTTTACGCCGCTGTGCAATCCGCCGCGCACAAAGCCCTAGAAACGGCCTCATTGGCTCGCTGAGCAACCCAAATGTCTCCACTACACAAGCATAAAAGTGTGGCGGCGGTTGTAATCCCTCTAGATGCGATGCCCAATCCCGCAACTTGTCCTGCACTTGTCTGGCTGCTGCAACACCTATCTGCACTAGGGCCACTCGTCTAAGCCCGGTATTCCTGTGTTGCTGTGGATCTGCAATGGAGACGTCTACCAACACCATCAAAGTTTTTTCTATATCGCGGCAAGTCAGATCTGGAATGCGGGCTGGTGCCCCTATGCGGCCTGTGCGTCCAGCTTGCCTTTGCTATTGTACTGGCTGCTGCTGTGCCTGGTCCCTCTGTGCCTCCTCCCTTGTCGTCTTTGCCTCTCTATCCTCTCCCCCACCCACCTGCCTCCTCCCATCCCCTCTCCCCAACCCCAAACCCCCCAGCACCCTCGCCCTATCCCCCCCTTCCATACCCTCCCCTCCTAACCCCTGCGCTCCCGCAGTTGTGTTCCCCGCCAACTCCTCTCTCCCTCTCTCCCCGAACCAGCCCGCACCCAAGGGCTGGGTCGCCCCCTGGACCCGGAGCCCAACCTTCCCTTGCTGGCCATCCCGCTGCTGCCCCTGCTGTCCCCTCTCCTCTACCCCACTCACCGGCCTCTCCTGCCCCTGCTGAACCTCCTATTGCTGGCTGTGCTGTCCTCTCTCCTCTCCCCCACTAACCTGCCCCTCCTGCCATTGCTGGCCATGCTGTTGCTGCTGCTGCTGCTGCTGCAGCTGCTGCTGCTGCCGCTGCTGTCCCCTCTCCTCTCCCCTAGTAGCCTGGCCCCGTTGACCCTCCTGCTGTCGCCCCTGTTGACCTTCTTGCTGCTGCCCCTGCTGACCATCTTGCTGCTGCTCTTGCTGTCCTCTCTCCTCTCCCATACTGGCCTGCCCCTCCTGCCCCTGCTGGCCCTCCTGCTGTCGACGCTGCTGTTGCTGTCTCCTCTCCTCCTCCCAGCCAGGCTGCCCCTGCTGGCCCTCACGCCGCTCCCCATGCTGACCCTCCTGTTGCCGCCCCTGTTGACCCTGCTAACCTTCCTGGTGCTGCCGCTGTTGCCCTCTCTTCTCTCCCCTACAAACCTGCTGCCGCTGCCCCTGCTGGCCCGGCTGCTGCTGCTGCCGCTGTCGCTGCTGCCGCTGCGACTGCTGCTGCTGCTGCTGCTGCTGCTGCTACTATCCACTCTCCTCTCCCCCACTAGCCAGCCCCTCCTGCCCCTGCTGGCCCCGCTGCTGCTGTCCATGCTGTCCCCTCTCCTCACCCCTACGGGTCTGCCCCTCTTGCCCCTGCTGGCCTAGCTGCTGCTGTTGCTGCTGCTGCCGCTGCTGCTGCTGTCCCCCCTCCTCTCCCCCACTAGCCAGCCCATCCTGCCCCTCTCGGCCCTCCTGCCCACCAGCCCCTCGACCGAGCCCACCCTTCTGCTACTGCTGTCCCCACGGTGCCCCTGACTGTCCCGGTACCCCGTCCCCCGTCCCCGAGAGTCCCTGCAGTCGCGCTCTAGCTGCCTCCAGATGCAGAATCAAAGTGGTGTCCTCCACCTTCACTGCGAAACCTGCCTCAGAAGCAAAGTCCCAACGCATGTATGTCACGGTGTCGTGGATGACCGTGGCGACGCCGAAGCGGGAGCACCGCACCACGTGGTGAGGTTCCGTCATGTCATCGATCGCGTGCCCACAAGAACACCGACCAGCTAGGGCTAGTTGGGGGATAGGGAGGCCGAGACGGAAAGCTGAGGCCACCTGCCACTGCGCCTCTGGGATGCACAGCGAGTCTGCGTACGGCACCGCCGTCAACCACGCGCCTGCACCTGCGCCCTGAAGGGATGTCAAACGGGCAAGGTGCAAGGGGTTAGTGTGACGGGCCCGGACTGACTTTAAGGCCCACGCCTCCAAGACGCAGCTCACTCCTGTGAAAAGAGAATCAGGGGCAGCAGAGACACAAGATTGCCAGGGGGGGAAGAGAGAGAGGATGTCACGTGGGAGGCCCTCCAGCGCCGTCCGCAGTGATCGATCGATCTGGTCAACATCATCTAATGCGAAGCTCTGTCGGAAGCTCGCACCGCACACTAGGAGGGAGCAAAGGATCGGCACGCACTGTACCCAAGAGCACGCATATCTCACCGGAGCGATACGCTCCATGCGTCGGATGCCTAAACCCCTAGACGTACGGGGAGGTAGATCTGATCTAGGGCAGCCTCATGAACGTCCTCTCTGCAAGTCCAAGTCCCAGGCACCAGAAGCTGCTGAAAGGTCTCCCCCAACCGCTTATCCCACCGTGCAAAACTGGCACGTACAGCCGGGGTCGGAGGGACCATCCTCGCCAGATACTACGGTCGCGTGCTGACGCATGCCGAAAGTAGACGGGCCGCTGTCTTGGGCTGGCGCAGTCTCGGAAGCCACGGCAACACGCGCCCCATCCTCTCCAGACGCTCAGGTAGGCTCCTCTCCACAAAAGCGTCAGAGCCCACCGGCACTCCCGTGACGGTGAGTCCTCTGCGAGCGATCTCGATCTCCAGACTCGTGAATGCCTCCACCTCTCTGGAAGTCACAAAATCCCTGCCGTAGACGAGACACTTGTGTGGCTGGACCGCAAGGCCCAGCTCGCGCAAGTGCCTCACAATCTCTGCGAAGTGGTGTAGCACCCTGGAAGGAGGGCCCAGCACGTAAGTGTCATCTGCGTATGACCATAGCTGGACATCGCCCTCGGCTAGAACTGGCTGTAGAGCCATGCGCTGTGTGAGTGCATACAAGAACGGGCTGAGCGGGTCGCCCTGACGGGTCCCGCGCTCCGAGTGAATGGTGGTCACCCCTCCATTCCCCCGGTAAAGGAGATCGGAGGGTGTCCCGTAGAAAAGGTGAATGAAAGGAATAAGACAGCGGAACTCAGCACTAGTGTAGAGGGCCTGGAACATGGCGTCTCAATGAAACGAGTTAAAGGCGTTCGCCACGTCCAGCTGAAGAACCACCCAGTCAAGGTGGTCATCCAGGGCACGACGAACGCCTCTAACCACGACCTCTGTCCCACAGGTAACGCCCACCCCAAACTGCTGTGACCCAAGAAAACTCTAGCCATCTAGTCCCGCAGCTGCAAGCATACTGCGCGAGAAAGGATGCGAATCAGAACCTCACCTATCACGATAGGACGCACATCCAGGTTCGGTTTCACGAGAGCGACCAGGGTGGACAATGCCAATAGCGACCGAGCTGCCGGGGCGCAGTAGCCTTGCAGCCAAAGCTGGTACACGGCGAGCAGGCTTGGGAGGCTCTCAGGAAAGGCAAGGAAAGTATCTCGAAGATGCTCGGCAACCTAGCCTGTCGGTCCTCCGGACGACCCACGCGGGGCTGTGAAGATGGCGCGGCGGAGGTGATCCATAGAGAGCGCAAGGGCAATATCCCAGAAGGTCGGTAGCCAATCTGGAGTCGGTCGCTCTGCGACGGGATGCTTGCTCCGCAAACGTTGCATCGTACTCTCCGTGTCAGGTGCCGCCTCTGACGACTCCAGGGCCGCGCAGGCCCGCGAGGTCTCATTGCAAGCCGCCAGATGCAGGCAGCGGGCAATGCGACGGTCATCCGGTGTGGGGGAGAAAGTGGTGGCGCGAGCGTGCCGTACTGCTCGTAGAGGAAGGGGAGTACGTTGATGTAGGGCCTCAGAGATGAGCTCGTCCCACTCACCTCGTCCAAAATGGATGATGCGCGCTGCAATGGCGGCCGTGTTTGAACGCTCTGGTGATGTCGCCAGGGCCAGTAGGAGCGTCGGTGCCACCGCCAAGAGGAGAGTAGGGCCTGGTGCCTCTGGGTTCCTGGGAGACCCGTGCTAAGATGGCGCAGAGGATGTCTAGATACCCACCACGGACCCTCGGGGGGATACGCCGAAGAGGACGGGCATGAATGCGCTCCGGGGCAAAGTACTCTGACCACCGGACGGAGTCAAGCGAACGCCACTGTGCATTTGTGAACTGCATCCCCTGAGCTCGGGGCTCTGCTAGGGAAGGTAGAGCTGAGGCCCTGTCGCGGAGGGCCTGCGCCCTGCAAGCTGCGTCGGCAGGGTGGCAGAATGGCATGTGGTGTCGGATTGCTCGACGGTTCGCGAAGGAGCTCAGGCATGTGGGGCACCTCACGAATTCGTCTGGTGACGTCGCTGTGTCGGTGGGGTCGGCCGTGGCCGTGCCCTCGGAACTATCTGCCGTGGTGATAGGTGGGGCTGGTGATGGGGATGGGTGGGGTGAGGCAGGCAGGAGTGGTGCACCTACATCTGCGTCAGAGGCGCACGGTCTGAAGATCAGATCGGTCTCCATCGGAGAAGGGTGGAAGGGTTCCTGCAGGATGGGGGCCGCAAGAGGGGGGTCCATGAGGGGGGCTTCGTGGGTGTGTACCATTCGGGCCGGGGGGGTGGGAGTAGGGAGGGGTATGCCAGTGTTCCGTATCACCAGCAAGTCAGATACAGCCGCCCCCAAGCCCGATGAGGGCTCCGACGCCTCCAGGTCTGTGAGGGAGGGAGGGTGATCTGGTCCAGCGAGAGAAAAGTGAAGCACCGCCGGCCCATGTGGCTGGGTTGCATCTGGTTGTCACACCGGCCTTAACTCACCCTACAGCCCTCTCAGTTGAGCTGTCGGGAGCAGGGGTGGGGCTGCACGCAGTGGTGGGAAGGGGGGTATGAGAGATAAGTGCAGCCTCATCCTCACCCGTCATTCTGTCAACCCCAACTCCAACTACCTCCATCCTAGTGGGGAGGGCGTCATCCTGAGCGGCAACCAGATGTTGGTGGGGAAGGATTGCGCCGGTGAAACCTCCACCGTGTGCCTGCAAAGGCGAGGGTTTATCTGGGGGGGGATTGCTAGGTGATAAGCCTATGTGAGGGTCGCTTGGAGCAGGTTGGGCAGAGGGGGCGGGAAGTAGAGCTGTAGGTGGGGCAGAAAATGGAGGTGGGGGTGTGGAACTTAAGCCCTCCCCGCCTCTGGCTCTCCCCCTCCGTCGTCGACCTACGTTGGCTTGGAGAGTTGCGGTCTAGTTGTTGTGGGGGGGGGTTAGAGTGGGGCCTGGAAGGAGGGGAAGGGGGGGAATGTTGGCGCGGCGAGATGGCTCAACATGAGACCTCCATCCACCCGTGGGACCTCCCGAGGTGGCAGGAGCCGGTGGCGTGGTAGATACCAAACGGTGCTGGTTGTGGGATGGTGAGTGGGCCTGTGCGGGTGCAAGCGGGGGTCAATGGGCTGGGAGAGGGCGGTGGTGACCATGGGGTGCCTGAGGCTGCGAGGGTGGTGATGATGATAATGATGGGGGATGGTAGGGGAGGGGCAAGTTCATAGCAGTGGGATGAGGTGCCGGTATCCGGCGCTGTGGAATTGTGTAGCATACGGGGCGGAGGGGATTCGGTGCGGGGGTTGATGCGACTGAACCAAGCGCCTCGGACATGTGCATATCTGCCGGTGAGGGCGGACCTGGTAGAAGGGGAGGTAGTAATGGCTGGGAGTTGATAGTCGGGGAGCAGGGCTCCTCTAGGAAAGCCTGGGCCTTGGCTGCCCCACTTAATTCGCGAGAATGCCTGTGAGGGTGGGGGCAAAGGGTGGGTGCTCCTGGGGGGGAGTGGGTGAAAAGATGCGCGGTGTGGATGGGTGCAGTCTCCGGATTCCCTGTCCTCGCTGTTTCCTCCTGCCCCTCTATTAAAGCTCCTGAATGCATGGGAGTGGGCCTGGGGGGGGCAGGGAGGACCTCGTCATGGGGCTGTGGTGGGACTGCAGCGTCCCCATTGCTGCCAGCCTCACCTGCGGCCTGCGCCACTCCGTCTGCGGTCTCTGTCGCTCCTGCAGCAGACTCCTCTGCCCCAGCTGTGGCCTCTACCGTCCCTGCTGGCCGTGCTAAAGCCCTGTCCCTAACTTCAGTCGCAACCCCGTCTGGTGCAGCAGTCGCTGCCCCATCTGCCACCTCTGCGACCACTGCTGCCCTTTCTCCAACCGCCGATGTTCCTTCTTCATCAGCTCCTGATACCGCCCCCACGCTGGCGGCCCTCGCTGTACCTCCGCGCTGTAGCTGCACTTGCCCGCCGCCATGCGGCAGCTGCTGCCCTCCATCTTGCAGCTCTTATTGCCCCCTCGCTAACACCCCATGCTGCCCTCCAACCTCCAGCCCTTGCTGGCCCCTTACAAGCCACCCCTGTTGCCCTCCTCTCCCCCCTCCCTTGCGGCGCCTTCGCTCTTGCCGTTGAGCCAGTACCTCCAACACCTCCAGCACCAGCAGCTCCAGTACCTCCAGCACCTCCAGCTCTAGCACCTCCAGCTCTAGCACCTCCAGCACCAGCAGCTCTTGTACCTCCACCACCTCCAGCACCCGTAGACTCAGCACCCCTAGAGGCAGCATCCTTATGACCAGCACCTCCAGAGTCCGCACCCCCAGTGTCACCACCCCCAGCAGTACCAGAGTTCACAACGACAGGTTGCGGAGGCGGCGAAGACGGCCGAGGCGGAAAACCAGGAGGGGTCTCCAAGCGCAGGGAGCGGCGAATGGCCCCCGTGTCGTCAGCAGCGGGGTCACCCCCCTCAGCTGGGCCAAATGGGTCAGAGGAGACCTCCAAAGGCTCAACCAAGGGGGGTGGGTCGACCCGAGACACACCTGAGGGAGCAGGACTCTATGGGGGGAGGGGGTCTACTAAGGGGGGGACCCGGGACCAGGAAGAGGGGCGGGGGGAAGACACGTGCGGGTGGAGACAGTTGAAGAAGACCGACCCGTCAAAGGTGGCGTCCTGTGAGGATAGGACGCAGCGAGAGGCAGGGTGGTAAAACTGCCAGAGTGGAGCATCGGTGGGGAAGCCAAGAAAGACGCCGCGGAGAGTGCAAGGAGAGAGCTTGCCCGCGGTGGTATCACGGACAAGGGAGAGCGCGTTTCAGGCCCGAAACGCCGTCGCATCGCCAACCTCCCCCGTCCAACGCAGTGTAAGCGAGGTCTTTGGCACAGCGACACAGTGCCCGTCCAAAACACTGTTTCATTATAAGCGCACGTGCGCTTATATCTGGGGTGATACGGGTGCTATGCAACACATATTATTTGCCAGCTACTCCTTAGGTGTTTCCTCCTTTTAGTTTCTTCCTCTCTTCTTTTCCTCTTTCCACCTTTCCTTCGGCCCTTCTCTTCTTCTCCAGCTCTTCTCTCCTTATCACCCTTTCTTTGTTCCACCATCTTTACCTTCCTCTAATACCCCTTCTCTTAATTACCACGACTTTGTATCAAACTTAATCCATCCAGACTACTACCTATTGGAGTGGGTTGATGTGATATGTAGAGGGTACGGGATTGTACGGTTACATATCCAACCTGTATGCTTTCATTCTGGTCATTCTCACATTCTGACAGTAGGTCTGATAACATTTCTGAATAATCAAACGAATTCAGATCTGAACTGAACTTTCGTATGAGATTAATCAAGTTGTCTACAAAATCAGATTAACACATTGCCCTATTTTTTAACCATCAGACAAATTCTGTGTGATACTGACAGACAGCCCCTACTGTATTTTAGGGTTTGTAAATCTTATCTTAACGTGTCCTATGGCATTAAGTTGGCATTCAGCTCAGCATCTCACCTATCGTATATGGAAGGGCAGGTCGCGCATGTGCTCCTCCACCGCCGGCTTCAGGAAGGGGTCGAACGTGAAGATGGCGCCCGCGTGCGCCCTCGCGAAGTCCTCCTCGAAGTCATACGAACCCCGGCTGCCAATGCTGCACGCAGCGATGCACGTTCAGAGACATGCAAGTAGCGTTAGCGGGGTGGGGTGGGAAGAAACACGAGAAGCAGACGAGGAAGGCAGGAGAGCTACCACTGTGGAAACTGGGAAGAGGGAGGTCACGAGAGAGTAAGGGGGTGAGGAAGGGAGTAGAATGCTTGGGCGGGACGGAGAGTAGAGAGAGAGAAAGAGAGAGAGCCAGGACGCAAACACAGCAGGGCCGAGAAGTTCAATAGAACGAGAGGCAGCGGCGCAGCCGAGTACTTGATGATTGGCTGAACCGGACGCATGGGCTGGGGGAGCAGTGGGGAGGGGGCAGCGCACCTGTAGACCGTGGTGGTGCGCTGGAATACTCCCGGTATCATGCACGTCCACTGTTGCCATGCACACGGCGAGAGGGCGAGGCGGGAGGAGGGAGAGCGGCAATGAAGAAGGGTTGGATTAGGGGAGGACATGAGACGGATTGAGGGGAGACAGGGCAGGGGTACAAAGAGAGATGTCGATAAGGAGAGTGGAAAGATGGAATAATGCCTGGTTGACTTCACGGAGTATTTCAACGTGTCCACCACCAACCGTGCAGCTGCCACACTCATATCGCTACTAATGTCTGACCCGCACTTGCACAGTTACACCAACATCCCTCCGTTCCGCACAGTGTGACCGAGAAGTTTGGTTGGTGCGTGTTGCACTTCACCAACATGTGACCATCAACCTCGGTCACGTAGGGAACGGGGTTTGTTATGCTGCGGCCGTGCAAACCGGGGGATCTTATCCCCTGAATTCTTTGGGTGCTTTCGTGTAACAACTCACGACACTCGCTAGCTATCGCTGGCGACGCTTCAAGCGAACTTTAGGGATTGAGGGAGCCTCGAATGACCTCCTCGTGCAGCCGTGCAAATGCTCCTCCAACCACGCAAAGGCAAGTCATTCACCTTGCCGCCGTCGCCCCAGTCCCCGAGGCGCTCCTCGAAGGGGCACGGGTACATGGGGTTGATGATGAATAGCTTCGTGCCGCGCGTGCCCAGGTCCATGGGCTGTTGAACCCCTTTCAGCTTCGTGTTCCGCCGTTGAACATTCGCCTGACAACACCACAAGGTCGCCACAAGAACCACGTCAGACCGTTCCTACAACCACTCTCGAGGCACAATGAACTTCCAAATCTTGTTTACTCAAAGTCACGCAATAACAAAAAACATACCCAGTACGTAGCCTCCGCGTGGCACTGCGCCACGTCCACGTGGCAGGTTCCCCGAGCACTTAACGCTGACCAATCGACTACCCCCACATGGTCTGAATCGGCCCATTGCGGATCGGAATGGCGGCGGGGGCATAGCAAGACCACGAAGACGAAGGCAATAAGTGCAATGCTACAGAGCGCACGAGGCCGAGAGCCCGGAAACGCGTGCCTCGACCATGTCTTCGAAGTGGTGGCGAAGTGTTGAATCCAAACTTGTACTGCTTCTTTTGAGGGCTGCTTGAGAGAATGGTTTGAAAGCGATGCTTTAGCGGCTGCAAGTATTTGGGAGTTGAGCGAGGCGACATTTGTATATGGGGAAATGGCAGCCTTCACCACCACCCAACCTCCTCCGAACCGGCCCTGGAAATGAGCGGTGCGGTGTAGACGTGTCAGGCAACCGAGCCTGGTCTCACAGAACCCACCGAGGCTAGGCGGCCCCATTTTCACAAGGTTCCCACGGAGGCTAGGTGAACCCACCATTCACGTAGATCCCACCGACGCTAGTCAGCCATTGGGCACCCAGCCCATACGAAACCCGAAACCGAGGAATTCGGCAAGGCTGAGGCGAGCCGCGTACACCTCAAACGGTCCAGCGTACACCTCAAGTAAATAAGGAAATTTCATTTTCCTTACTTCGCGTCCCTAATCAGCGCGTACACCACTATTCCCGCCAACAGCAACCAACATTAATCCGTTACCACTCGCGACACTCGCCTCAACACTGTTCACGGTGCGACACAACATCACGGTTCGGTTGGTAACCCGCACTCCGGACCTCCGCCTCGACATTTCCCAACCTCGGCGCTAGGCCCGTCGCGCACCCCATTTTCCACACATTACCGTTACCACAATAGTTTCGCTATATATTCTTCGCTCATGCCTTCGCTCATGGTACTTGTTACAATCCCAAGTGGGACTTAGTGAAGGATCGTTCAGGGTTGATCGCAGAGTAGTGTTGTAGCGGAAGTTTTGAATCTCAGGTCAGAGTGAATGTAAATGACTGAGTTGATAAAAGCATGCATACATCGAGTTTATATAAGAGTACAGGGGAATACGAAAAGACCTAGACTAGCCATGTACTCTAAGGGGTGCATTCCCTTATTACAGCAAATTCAAACCGTGCGGCGCGGGAACCCGTTTTAAACCTGTTCCCACTCTTTTCATTTCAAGTGTTTTTCTGCCTGCATCGGTCTTGGTCAGACGGTTGCTGCGTCGCTTCGACTCTTTTAACTCCTCGACTTCGTACTCGGTAGAGTTGGCTCCTGCAGCATACAGGAATGCCTTACTCATAAAACTTCATATCGTAACACTCCCCTTCATTTCTGGGCGCAGTAGGAGCTGACTCGCTTGACTACTCTGGTGAGGTCAGAGCACTGTTTGTACTGCTGACGTGGCAGGTGCTTCGTGAGGAAGTCTGCTGCCATCTCAGTAGTCAGGCAGTAGGCGAGGTCAACTTTGCCTTGGTCAATTTCGTCCTTGACGAAAAGTACCGAAGTGCGACGTGATTCGTGCGGTTCACGAAACCAGGCTTGTTTGCAATCCTGATGGCACTCTAGTTGTCGCAATGAAGGCGAAAGGTAGGCAAGGTTGGAATTTTCGCTTCCTGTAACAGCTCTTGCAGGTACAGGCCTTCGCGAACTGCTGCTGTCGCGGCGATATATTATGCTTCAGCCGACGACAGGGCAACCAGCTCCTGCTTTTGTGAGTTCCAGGAGATTGGTCCAGTTGGTTCTAGGCAAAAAACAAAGCCGGTTCGGGACCGTCGATTGTCAGGGTCAGCGGCATGATCTGCGTCCACGTAGCCGTTGAGGTTGAAGGAGGTCGTTGTCAGCGTGGAATAGGAGAGCCCAATGTCAGGCGTGGAGATGAAGTACTGTAGGGCGCGTTCCAGGTCCAGCTGGTTCTTAGCTACTGGCTTGCG